ACAAGTCAGTAGCTGCTAATGGTTGCCTTTACACTAGCAACTATTAACATTTAGTTTCCATTTAAAAAGGGTATTTCTTAGCAGATTCTTGACGGAGGTTTTTTTTTTTTTTTTTTTTTACAAGTTTATGTTCTTCTCTTGACATCATTCAGGGAAAGAAAAAGTCTGATACAAGTAACACCTTTGTTAAATGACACGTAAAAATTAAAATTGTAGATTCTAACCTGGCTTTTTTGTCAATGCTCAAAAATGTCAATTTACATCAAAAGAGCAACTGGCAGTATTTCAGAAAGAGGGTATTCTCTATATCCTGCACTGGACAGCAAGGTTGCTTAAGGTCCAAACTGAGCCTTTCCCATAGGACCACAATTGATGATACAGAAGTAGAAACCATAGCTCATGATAAACAGCTCTTATCTGAAGTGCAGGGCACCTTCAGGTGGTTGCAAAAGGAAGACATAGGAGGACTTAAATTAGTAACTTATTGATGTTAGTGTAAACACAAGGCTTATTTGATAAACAACACACTTATGCCTTTAGCAATACATAAACTTAACATAAGGAAATTGATCCACTATGTAAGTACTACATCTGTGTTACTGTTTATTTATGAACAAATAATACTTAATAAAACAAAGCTCTACAATGTGGTCTTCTGGCAGAGCTCTGCATTGACAGACAAGATTCTTAAATCTAATTCCAAGCTTTCAGTCTGTAGATTTTGAAGTGTTTCTGTGAAGAGTTTAATAATTTCAAAAGATTTTACTGAATTACAGGGGGGAAAATTGAGTCAATTCTTAAGATTTCAGTAAGAACTACAGAGAACACTACCATAACACATACTTCAGGTTTTTGGGGTAGGCTTTTTCTTCTTTTGGGGCGGTTTATTTTTTTGTCTTGTATATGTTGGGTCTTGGTGGTTTTGTTTTGGTTGTTTGGCTGGTTTGTGGGCTTTCTTTCTTTAAATACAAAGGGATGCCCTCTTACCGGTTGATAAAGTTACAAGAAAAGCATTTGCAGATTATTTTATCATTTTCTAGGCATTGCACTAAAATGCACCATTTCAGCCTTCTAAAGTTCTACGCATCACTCTCTTTAGAGTGTAAGAGCATCACATTTGGTTTTAATTATGTCTTTTAAGCACCTCCTCTATAGTTTCGTAAGACAACTGACGATTCAGATGCTCAAGGAAGCACCACCTTTAATGATGTGACAGACTTCTTCCAAATTCTCGGTTACAAACACTGAAAAAGCACATTATATTTGATAATATCATGGTCAGTATCCACATATCACTTGTGGTAAAATACCCATATCCCACATCCATGTGAGAGGTGACAAAAAGGCCAATTAATGTTTCTTACTTTTGCTATGTTTGCATAGCCAGCCTAAAAATATTATAGGAAGTGGAGGTTACTTAAGCAGAAGTCAAAGACAAAACAAACACTTTTTGCTACCAAAGAGGGACTTCTATTCAAAAGATTTGCTTTCGGCAGTTTCATCTCCACATCCTTGGCTAGGCAAACAAGCAAGACAACAAATGTTAAAGACCTATTGTCTTTAGATAGCAACAAAGAACCATCCCTTAAACAGATTGTTTTACACTTAATAATTTATTAGCACATTTATTTAAAACTGCTTATGGTCACATATCCCACAGAATAGCTGGGAGGTGCCCTATTTTGTTAGGCAAACATAATTTACTTTTCCATCACTTCCACACCTACATGTTTACAATGACTTCCACATATATATTACATATATCTTATCACAATCCTAGTATCAGAGCATTGCAACATCAAAATTAGAAAACCTATCAGAATAACCCTGTCATCCCATATAAACACACTCTAATCCAATAAATCAGCACATCATCACACATTACTGCATTGTTAGTTAAGTAGCAAAACACAAACATGCCCTTACTTGCCAAAGATTCACCATTCCACTGCTGATATAACAACTATTAAAAGATCCTAAACCAATTCATCTTTGGGCTCAATTCTGTTCTAAAATCCATGGATTAGCAATAAACAATCTGCTACAGGATGCAGTTCTGAAGTAAGGTTTTATCCATATAATTTTCAATCAACAGCATGATTTATCACTGCAACCAGCAGGCCAAGAAGAGCCACCATCCAAATAGTTTATATAAGGTGATCAAAAAGTTAACGTGAATGTAAAAAAGAATTGTTAACACATCTGATCTGATCAATCTAATGCTTTGTACTGTAAAGGCTTTTGAAGAAATTAGGGTTCATTTTCAACAGTTTTTATTAACTTAAAAGATGTAGAACTCTGCCATGATTACAAAAACGTAGCACTTGCATCTGCCCTTCAATATTTTAAGCCTCAGTTGATACCAATTTCGTATTCATAATTAATGTGCCATGATTTCACAAAGCAGAAAATGAGAATGTTTTCTTCTGAATTATGTGTTCAAAAAACAAAATTTGCAATGATTTTGTAGTAGCACAACAGCAGAGATTACCTTACAGAAGGCTTTCTAACTGACATTTAAAGCAATCTAGAGTCCTTGTACCTCAGAAACCAAAAATCATAAAACCCAAAACACCACCCCAAAACCTTTTTTAGCATAACTTTAGCAAACTACTCAGAGATATGAGCTCTAGTTTAAAAGAAAACCCCAAAACCACAAACCTTGAGCCTGGATTCTTGTTAACATCATTACAGTACTATTCTATAACAGTAGCAAGAAGAAGAAAATTACTACGAATTAACAACAACAATTCCTATATTTAATGTTATTTAAAAATCAAAGTGTTACCTAAGGCAATTACCTTGCAGCCTTTTAATATCTACAGGGAAAAGCCTAAGGGAAAATAATTGACTTTGCTAATTTTACCCTTGGCAATTATAAAATAGCTCTGCATTTCATTACGACTACAGAATTTCACGTCTAATTGTCAGCCCCGAGAGGAGCAGAGAGATAAATGCATCATACACAAGCTCACAAGAATTTAACAGACAATAAAATTATCCTGGTAGCAGTGAGTTCAGTTATGTAAAAAACCCCTTTAATTTAAATTCTGGTCTACACAATAGCTATGCATGTCTATGGAGGCAGTGGCTACCATGGCCAGTACCATGCATGATAAAATGCTGCTCATTTCATTAGCCAATTTGCTAAATGCCAGCAAAAAAAGCAGTACTGTGATTTTTACTTTTTACATCAAAGAACACAAAACATTATGAAGGAAAAAAGTCACAGTTATTTCACACTGCTAAAAAACAGATGCCAGATTTGAAAATTCATCATTTACAAAAGAATAAATACAGTATGTTTAAATCATTGCACCTGTCAAGAGATTTCTATAGCTTGTATTTCAATTTTTCTAACTTTGCTAGTAGGGTTAGACGTATGAAAAAGAATAATTTACTAAGTCAATCAGTTTCCATAATGGCATCCCACTTTTCGTATGTAGAAGCTATGAAAGTATTTAGATGTCAGAAAAATGAAAAAAAGTGCTAAAATGTTTTGGCAGAATTTTCCAACATGCAGTATAATGATTGCTTAAAAAAAAAAAAAAGTATTTCTTTGCACTTGTGCTTCATTTCACCGTAGGCTTGCTTCCTGGCAAGTCTTCAGGGATTATACATTCCTGCTGCAATACTTAATGATGTACTAAATGCAAAGTAATTGTTGCTACATTTTGTAAAAATTCCTTTTATGTTGAAACAGAAAATTGATGTAGGGTTAAATCCTTTAGTCTGTCTTTAGAAACAGGGTACTAAAAAAAATGGACTGATAGAAATTAATAATAATTACTAAAATCAATTACACCCCATTTTGGTTATGGTGTGCACTATATAAACTTTTTTTCTAATACTTACTCCAAGTTAGCATGATAATGGCTTAACACACGATTCCAGTAGATTGACATCGAATTTTCTGTCTCTTCTCTGGAATCTCAGCTCTGTACTAGAAAATGACACTACTTCTAAGACAAACTGTCATACTCATGATCAAAGGAGCACAGAAATACTCAACTACCACAAGGAGATTTTACATGAGAATCCAAGAAAACAGACTACTCAGGCTGACAATTACAACAATGCTGATTATTGAAATTGCACATGACAAACATTTATTTTACATTACAATATGGCAGCAACCTTCAAATGTATGAAAAGCACCTCTGCAAAATGTACTGTTTCCTGTTTCCATTGGAATGGCACACTTAGCTCTTCAGCAATACACGAAGTTAGGTGCTACACTAGGCTGGCACAGGGATGCCCAGGAATCCCTCTCCGCCACTGGAGGTTTTAAGCACAAGCTAGATAAATGTGGGTCAAGAATGATTTTGTGTAGCTGAACCTATCTGGCGAAAAGTAGAACCAACTAGAGAGAGGATCTCAATGTCTCCATCAGTCTCATTTTCTAAGATAATACATATACACAACCTGTTTCTCAGCAAAAACATCTCCCTGTAAAGTTTCAAATGGTTTGGCTAAGCAGCTGGATTGCAGCTGTCCTTTAGAAGTCAGTATATCCACATTAGTAGGGCAATACAATGTTCAGGTGTATCCACATCCCTAAAATATTAAAAGCAAAAAGTCACCTGAGACAAAGCAGTAAAGCCTTTTGCTCCCCAGATTATCTAAGACGAAGCACAAAGCAAAAGAAAATAATAAATCAAACATGTTTTCAGCTGGGAGTTTACCAGAGGTGTTGTAGCCTGACACGTCATGAAGATGCCACTGTATATGCCTTAAATCCACCAAACTGGCCACCCATCCATTACAACAGTGCTTCAGAACATATACTAAAGACATCATCACAGTAATTCCATAGGAGACTGTTAAACATGTTCACAGCAGCAGCCTCCCAAATTTACAGCCATAACAGTAAGGATGCTGGTTCTTAAATGATGCTCCACATATACATACATAACTGCTGATTTTTAGGGGGCCTCTCTTTCAAAATACTTGCTAATATTTACTTGCTTTGGCACTAGAGGAATTTTTTTTCTTTTTACCTTGGTATTCTGCAACTGTGCAAGGCTTGTGCAAGCATTTGCTAGAAGAAAATCTCCACTCAAAACAGCCATTTTATTCCCAAACTGCATATCCTTCAGTGGGCCATCGCAGGACTTGAGCTCACCAATGTTTACTATGCCACGATGCACCAGAAAGGCAGTATGGATCAGCTCCGTAATCTCAGCCAGACTTCTCTGACTGAAAGGAAAAGAAAGCATAATTACGTTTGATGCTATGAATAGAACAGAGATTCTTAGTGAAAATAACCAAACAACCACATGTGCTAATCAGGTATTTTATTAATTATCATGTAGCTCTTCTATGTACTTCTAGAAGCCACAGCCAGGAGGTGTTAAACACAGAGAATTGTCACTAGGTATTTCCAGGCAAACCACAGGTACCACAGGCTCCACTTGGGAGAATGCTGCCCTTTGTTTGAATTCTTTCACAAAATAAAGCAAAATAATCAATATAGTCTTCACGGTGCTTTCTTTTTTCTGTTTTGTCTACCAGAAGCTTGAGGGACACTGACATGAAGAAAACGCCAAGCAGGAAGCAATGATGGAAAGAAACAAAGGACATATCAGCAGGGGAGTCCTGAGCAAGCCAATCCAAACAATGTAAGAATGCTGCAGTCAATGACTGCTCAAATTAGAGTTAAATTAATAACAGAATACCTTGCAGTTCAATACTACCAAAGGGGATGGGTTCAGGCAGGAGAGGAAAAACAGCTGAATGTTTTAGAACCGTGTACTAATGACATTTCACTGGTGTTTTTAGTCAGAAACAGCAAAAGTGACTGTCTAGCAAAGGGGCCAATTGTATTGGATCAGTTTACAAATCACTTCTTAGTCCAACACATAGCGTAATACATTCTGGGTTTAGGGGTTACAAATCCCTATGAGAGGCTTGCCACAGAGGTTATTCCACAGAGGCTTGCTCTCTATTCTTATTTTTTGGGAAAGGCAAGAAAGGAGTCAGTAGCACAGCCCTCTCCTCCCCCGCCCTCCCACAATGCATCCCTGTAGCCCTCAAAAGTGACGAGATGTCACCTTAGCTCAGAACAACAATGGGGTGTTGAACAGACAAAATAACTGAGCAGGGCCAAGGGGAGGGGGAAATAGCAATGCACTGGAGCATCCTTTTAATGCTATATACACACAGGACTCATTCTTACAAAAACTCCAGCACATTCACATCTTCTCTGACACAAGCAGTTCCCTTTCTGCCATGGAGATTTCACATATGAGCAAAATGCAATCCATGTCCTCAACTAAACAGATGACTAAAGGCCTTAAGTTCTATTTATTTACAACATAGTACAAAGGCGTGTTATGTTCTCAGTGCTTATTCAGAAGTGGCCAAGCACTGATTCATTGAGTAACCAAACTGATCCACACCTTCACATACAAAGATACATGAGCTGGTACATGCTCAGGTTAGATTCTGGCTCAGCACAGTGCTGAGCAAATGAATTCTGTTTCCTCTGGACAGTGCACACGTGCTCCAACTGCCCCAAACCGTATTAATCTAAAGTAACCTTCTGCCCCAAATATATGTGACCTGTGAACAGTCCCAGCAGCACCTGTTTCGGGGCAGTGGTCGGTGCCAATTAGCAAGAGAGAAGAGATGGGCCGGTCACATGGCCTGGGCAGCACACAAAAGGCAGAGATGGAGGGACAGGATAAATAGAGATTCCCCATGTATTTTGCCATGCACAAAAAAGAATCTGTTTTAAAAGCTGCCTTTATAATTTGCAAATTGTTGGCTCCATGCAGACAAAAACAATTCAAAAACCAAACAGTCATTCTCCATGTAGACAATAAATCCGAAGGTTGAGGCTGCTTTTCAAAGACGCGAGGGAGAAACTCGCACAACCCAGCCGCAGTATTGTAATCACGCTTGGCTCGGCTCTAACAAAGGGTTAATACATTTTCAAGCTCGGAGAAAAAGACTAACAAGACATCCCGATGCTCCTGCTGCCATTGTCAGGGCAGCCCTTGGAGGAAATGTCCGTATCAATTCGGTTTATCAGATGGACAGCTGATCAACATTAAACAGACTTGCTCTGGGCAGATTGAGCCGAGCTACCTGTTATGAATAGCAATGAGAGCCCTCTGCTCCCGCTGCCGCGCTCTGCCATTTCCGACTGCCGCAGATCCCAGGACATATGGGGATCCCTAGTGACGAGCACATAAAGCTGCAGCTAACTCAGGCGACGGCTCATTTCCCCCAGCTGAAAGCAGGCATTAATATCCTGAGGAGACCAGGCCCGCCTCTGTGACCCCCAACTATTGAAGCAAAACAACGACTGTCCTATTTCTTCATTTAATAAGCTCTTAATGAAGGAAATCAAAATCCCCTCTTTGACTTCAGCATCACTCTTCATGAAAAGGTTACACAAATACATCAGTGTCATGCTTTCCACATGCTCAGGATCTGGATGTTTTCATTTCTTTTTCTATAATCCGTTTGTTCTTCAAATAGTTCTTCGCATTGTTTGTGCTAACAAGAATAATATTAGGCAGATAATCTATGTCTAATTCTGATCTTATATACTGCTTTTCCACTCTCTCCCCCTACCAGACTAAAAATATGAGAATCAATGCTATTGCAGAAATTCCAGGCAATGCATTTTTTAATGCTTTTTGTGATAACCCCTAGAATACCCAGGCACAATAACAAGTGCACAATGCCGCAGATACAGGAGGAACCTTGACGTGACTTTGTGAAGACCAGTATCTAATGAATAAACACTGCTGTTATGAAATTGCTGCTAAATGGCTGAAGAAATACGATACACAGCTTTCTCCATCTGAATACAATTCAGTGATTAAATAACTTCGTATTTGAAAGCAGCCAATCCCAAAAAAAAGCAATACTGGACTTAGAAAGAGGGCAATGGGATGACAAACTCTGCCTCCATCCTGTTGTCACACCAGAGCCCACAGTCACCAAAAAAAGAAGTGGCTGCTGCAAGAATTACCTGTACTTACCTTGGTACAAGGTAATATGGAGAAAAGAGTCAACATTTCTAAACACACAAAGTTCCTAAATGGAAGCGTGCTAAGAATCAAGAAAACTTTATCACCAAATACTAACACGCTTCCACATCTTTCAGCTCTGAAGCAAGAATTCCCTGCAAATCACCACCAAAGTTCCTAATTTCAAGTCCTACTCTAAAAAGAAATAATAGGATTCTGTAAAACATATGATAAAAGAGACATATTAAATAGTACAGTTGTATTGAACTTGAGTTAGTACACCTTTCATTATCAGCTAACCATCATATCTACACCAGGCTTCTCAAGGGATGACAAGCTATGAAAAAGAAATATTTAATAATTTAAAATGTCATTTTTAGGCATTTTCACAGAAACTTAAATTAGCCAGACTTAAATTAGCCACTAAAAACCGTAGTTGAAAATTTTCAATGCAACCACAATGAACAAAGATAATGAAACTGATAGATCAAAAATACTTTAAGAACTCTTATCATTGAAGCTTTGAATTAAAGTGACTAACAGTACACACTCAAGACTGGAACATTTTCTTTGTGATTGTCAATTCAATAGTTTCCCTTCAATACAAAAAGGATTGACTTGGATGAAAAGCCTTACATTCAGGACTTTAAAAAAAATGTAAAAGTATCAGCATCCATTCAATTTCAGTGACAACTATAATAATCTTTATATACACATACCTATGAATTTGAAATAAAAAGAAATTGTGTCTTTAATGGAAAATTACATATGAAAAAGCATTAACCAAAGAATTAAAGTAATTATTTCAGGTACTAACTATGTATTTGGGTAGCATTTGGTATCCAATTTTACATTTTTTGAACAGTGAACAGAAAGAAAAGTTATATGAAGACAAGAAGTTGCTTAAACTACATTCAAGTTGATCCTGTATGGTCTGGGTACTAGCTGATGCTGCACCAAGATTAGTTTGCTTAGTTACAGCAAGAAAAGCCAGTGATTTTTACAGTTCTTTTCCCCATTCACCTGTCAAAGTCAATGCCATGGTAAATAAACCATGATTAGAAGAACAATGCATAGTGAATAACAAACAGCATCATAGTGATGGAAAGTCTCATTCCCATCTTCTGTATATATAGTTTCTTTTATAAGAAATTAAATGGCAGAGGGGGTAAGTGTTTAGGCCAGTCAACATGTACGGAAGATGCTGTGAGTTCACCAACAGGGAAAATTTTCAGGGTAAAGCAGCAGATTTGAGCAGAGTACCAAATATTCACTGCATTACCATGACTCATGTATCTGTTAAAAGCAGAAAACATCTACCAACTCCTATTTGTTAATAAGGTTAGAGACCAGGACTTCTCTGGTCCTAAGATATAGGACTGTCTTCCACCTGAGGGATAAATCAAGTTTAAAGACATGGTCTATGAAGTTCATTGAATATGCTGTCTGATTGCATTCCTAACAATCAGTTTATTTTTAAACTGGCTACATATCCTACCTCTTTCATCTCCTTCCCTTCCTAGTATCACAGAGTTTTTGAAGTAAAATTTCTATCAATGCTCCTTCATGTATTTTTCTTAATTTATTTTTGAAAAGATCTTTTCACTCCCTGTCACCTGCACCACTGATTATTGCTTAGGTTCTTTTCCGTAACTTGTCTTAGTAATATCTTCCTTCAGCCTATTATAGGATTTGAAAATGTTTTCTGACTTTTAGTGAGCAGACATTCATTTGAATGTGGCAAGCCAGCTTCCCTAAGCATTGTAGATGGTTGGCAGTGGAGAGTGAAAAGCCTGACTGGAAGGCAGGGTCCTGTTCCCTTCCGTAGTGTAGGAATTTTAAAGAAGGGTTTTCGCAGGTCTTGGCTGCATTGTTAGGGTTACTACAGAACAACCAATTCCCACTTTGTACTCCAGACAGCAACATGCAAGTGAACCAATTTGTATCAGCTTCTGACTAGTGCCACTGATGTGCCAACGCGGCCACCAGTGTGTCACCACAGCATAGCCAGGAGCTCTCCAGCCTGGGAGCCAGCTACCCGTACCAGACTGCAAGAATCCACACTTGCACCATCACCCCCAGCAAAACTAAGCCCTAACTGCTGAACTTGTGTCTGGCTTACTCCTATAATCAGCATCAGTGGCCAAAGAACAGTGATCACAACCTATAGCACATTGTCCTTGGGTTGGGTGGCCTCATCATGGCAACTCCCTT